CCCTCCCTCCCCCTCCCCCCCTCCCTTCCCCCCTCTCTTCCCTCCCTTCCCCCTTTCTCCCCGAGTGTCTCTTCCCAGAACCAGCTAAGTCTCCCATCCCCCCCCATCCCCCTCTCCCCTCTCCCCATCACCCCTCCCCCTCCCTTCTCCCCCCTCCCCTTACCCTCCCCAACCTCTCTCTCCCCTCCCTTCCCCTTCTCCCCCTCCCCTTACCCCCTCCCTTCTATCCATCCTTCCCCCCTCTCCTCTCCCTTCCCCTCTCCCTTCCCTCTCTTCCCTTCCCCCTCTCCCCCTCCCTTCCCCCTTCTCCCCCGAGGTGTCACCAGAACCAGCTAAGTCTTCCCATTAACGCAACAATAAAACTCAAGGCAACAATAGCCTCCGGTAATTGGGTGCGTCACTGTTTGGATTCCTTTGTTTTTTTGTCTTGTTTGTTGTTTTGTTTTTTGGTTTTGGTTTGTTTGGTCTACCCTTTTTATTCTTTGATTTATATATATCTGTTTTTTTATTATTATTATTATAATTATTATATTGTTATTATTATTTTTTTGGGGGGGGAGAGGGTTAGATTGGTTGGTTGGTTGCCATGTCTTGTTTTTTTTTTTTTTTGTCGGTTTGTAATTTTTTTCTCAACTGAAAAAAAAAGAAAAAAATAATTCCTCTTTTTCTTCTTTTATTACCATTTATACGCTCTTCTCTCATTCTCTCTCTCCCTTTCCCACGTTCTCTCACTATCTCCCTACCTCCTATTCTCCCTTATCTGCCCCCCCCCATCCCTCTCCCTCCTTCCCCCACCTCCATCGCTCCCTTCTCTGTCCTCCTTCTTCTCAATTTTTCATTTTCCTTTTTCATTTTCTTTTTATTTTCGTTCCTAAAAATCCCAGATCTGGACAACCGCTTCCCACCTCTGGGTCAGCTGACGAGGGAGGGGGGGGGCTGAGGGAGTGAGGGGAAAGGGAGGAGAGGGAGTGAGGGAAGGGGAGGGAGGGGAGGGAGAGGAAAGGGGAGGGAGTGAGGGGAAGGGGAAAGGGGAGAGGGAAGGGAAGGGATGTGAGGGAGAGAGGGGAGTGAGGGGAGAGAGGGAGAGGGAGGGGGGAAGGGAGTGTGTGAGGGGAAGGGGAGGGGGTGAGGGGAAGAGGAGGGAGTGAGGGAGAGAGGGGAGAGAGGAACGGGAGGGATGTGAGGGAGGGAAGGGATAGTGAGGGGAGGGAGTGAGGGGAAGAGGGAGGGGAGGGAAAGGGAGGAGAGAGGAAAGGGGAGGGTAGTGAGGGGAAGAGGAGGGAGGGTGAGAGGGGATGAGGGAAGGGGAGGGAGGGGAGAGGAGGGGGAAGTCAGGGAGGAGGGGAGAGGGGGGGAAGTCAGGGAGGGGAAGAGAGTGGAGAGGAGTAAGAGAGACGATTGATTTTTCCTTTTTTTTCTCTCTTTTCTTGTCTGTTTCTTTCATGTCTGCTGTTTGCGTTATTTTCACTATTGTTGTAATCATTATTATCTTTATTGTTGTTATTATTATCATTATTAGGATTTTTATCATTATTATTATTATCATTATTGTATTTATTATCATCATTATTATTATTATCATTATTGTTATCATTATCATCATTATTGTTATTATTATTATCATTATTATTATCCTTATCATTATTATCATCTTTATTACCATTTTTGTGATAGTGGATAGTGATGATGATGGTGATGATAATGATAATGCAGATGATAAAAGTAATAAGAATACTAGTAATACTAATACTGCTACAACAAAAAGCATTCCTACTACTACTACTACTATTACAACAACTACTACTACTACTGCTTCTACTACCTCGAATACTACTGCTACTACTACTACTATTACAACTACTACTACTTCTACTACTACTACTACTATTACTACCATTGTTATTATTCTTACAACTACTTCTACTACTACTGCTACTACTTTTACTATCAAAACTACTTCTAGGACTTATAGTAAATAGCAGTGACAGCGATATTACTGCTACTAACAATAATAATCAATATGAGGACGATAGTAATGCGGATAATGGTAATCCTTTAGGTAATGGTAATGACAATGACAATAATAATAGAACTGATTGTGATAATGATATTAAAAAGGTACTGATGATAATATGGACGATAATAATGCAGGCAATAATAATAATTATAGTCACAGCAATGTTTCTGTTGATGGTTTTGGTTTTGATAATGATACTTATACTAATTATAATGATAACATATAGTAATGGTATCAGTGAAGATGACACCAACCACTATCGCAATGACAACAGTGATATCCATCATTAACTTTATCACCGTCTCCATTTCCCCTTGATAATACCTTCATTCTTATCATCACATTCATCATTTTCACTCTCTGTGGGCGCGCTCGAAACCCAGTCCTTTGTGGAGGGTCAGCTGTGAAAGCGGCGCTGTGTGAGGCGTCCTCTTCTATCTTTCTGCTTTCATGGGCTTCCTTCTGTGACATCGAGGTCCACGTTAACGGGGTTCGCTCTTGTAACGGGGTTTCTCATTCACGAGACGAGAACGACGGGGTAATTTCGCCCAAGGGAGAGGAGTGTACTGTGGCTGTATTGTGAGCGAAGGCGGGATGCACACACGTATATGCGGACGTATACTCACATGTATACATAGACACATATAGGTACACAGATACGCACGAATACGCAGAACACATGCATACATACTCGTATACATACATACACATACATATACACAGTCAGAAACACACAAACAGATACTCAAACACACACGTTCACACACAAACAAATCCATACACACGTAGATACACACACACACGTAAATGCATATAAAGACTATAGCACACGAAGATATATACGCTCACGTAAACACACACGCACATGCGCAGATACACACAAAGTATGCAACTATTTTATCTGTAGATACCTGCCTATCAGTTAGCCAACCTTCACAATTTTTACAACACATCAAACATGACTTTTATCAGCTTTGAAAGGCAGTCTCTCTGTCCACATCGAGTGCAAACACGAAAAATAATTTTCTAACATTCTCACGTTAACCTGAGAGCTTCCCAGTGGCTCTGTTCCAGCTATGTTGTGATTGGGTGAATGTTTTTTATTATTGTTATTTTTATTTTCATTTTTATTGTTATTGTTATTTTTCTTGTTATGTATTTTTTCTATTTTTTTTTTCATCATCATCATTATCATTATTATTATGATGATGATGGCGGTGGTGATAATTATTATCATTATAGCATTATTATTATTATTATTATTATTATTATTATTATTATTATTATTATTATTATTATTATTATTATTATTATTATCATTATTATTATTATCATCATTCATTATTATTATTATCGTTATTATTGTTGTAATTTTTTTCTATTTTTTCATCATCATCATCATTGTCATTGTTATTATTATGATGATGGTGGTGGTGATAATTATCATTATATTATTATCATTATTATTATCATTATTATTATTTATATTATTATTATATATTATATTTATTATTTTATTATTAATAATGATGATAATGATAATGATATTTATTATTATTCTTAGTATTATTATTATTATTATCATTATCATTATTATTATCATTATCATTATTATTATACTTATCATTGTTATTGCTACTAACATCATCATTATTATTATCATTATCATTGTTATTATTTTTTCTATTTTTTTATCATCATTATTATTATCATGATGATGCTGGTGATGATCATTATCATTATATTATCATAATAACAATAATTATAATAATAATAATAATAATAATAATAACAATAATGATAATAATAATAATTATTGTTATTATCATTATCATTATTATCATAAACCTTATTTTCATAATTATCATTATCCTTATCACTTTCATTATTATTATCATCATTATCATATATCATTATATATATCATTATTTCATTACTATTATCATTATTTTCATTATTATAATTATCATTATCACTTTTATCATTATCATTATCGTTATTGTTATTATCATTATTATTGTTATCATTACTATTATTATCATCATTATTGTTATTACTATTATTCTTATTCTTATTCTTATTATTACCATCATCATTATTATTGCCATTATTATTATTATCAACATTATCATCATCATTATCATCATTTTGCTATTCGTGACTTTTTACACAGTAATCCGTACTTCCTTTATATTCAGATAAGTCTAAGTGTATGTTTATTTTCACACTATTCTTTATCGTTTTATTTCATTTTCATTCATCATTTGATTTATTTACATTAATGAAATTCATCACTCATTCATTAAATTCTTTATTTGTGTATCTCTCAAATTTTCTTTCAGTTGGATAATAATGATAATATTCTTGATGAAGATATTTCTGTTATTGCTAGTATTGTAATTACTAAAGCTAGTAATGACGGCGTTAATTATCTTTCTGGTAATATTGATTTCGATAATGATAATGATACTATCTATGATAAAGAGAATAATCATTCTATTGTTCGTTTCATTATCATTTATACTCTTATTCATACATTTTATGAATAGCTTTATCATTTTATTAATTAAATTCATGGGACTTAAACCTTGAAGAATCTTAGATAAGTTAAAACTTGAATAAACTTAAAACTTAAACTTAAAAGAAAATGGAGGATATCAAAGACAAAAG